CTTGATCACCGAGAAATGACTTGCAAGCATTCCATGCATTCTTGAAACTCTGGAAAAGGTTCGTATACTCCTCTTTCACAGATCCTGGAGACAAATTGGATCTCAGCAGAATTCAAATTTACTTCAAGAGTCTCCACAGTTGCACTTACACTGGCAACTTTCTCTTCAGTAAAATTCATACAAAAAATCCTTATCCAGAAGAAGTCATACGGAAAATGTCAAACACGGAGACTTGTCAAGGCAAATCTTGTCTAGGACGCAATTTACTTGCGCAGATGACCCGAGAAGAGTTCCCAAGAAAATTCTGACCATGATCATTTTTTTTGACAAATAAATAAACGAAATTGAAATTTAGCAGTCACATTTCCAAGGGGTAGAAATGCTACAGCTTTGACACCTCCGTCATTCTCGTCGTCAAAAAATATCCTGTGGAAAAACTAACAGGGAAAGGTGCACCTGCTAACTGCAGCTTACTGTTTGAAAAGCATCTCAAAATATCAACCCTTTACATTGAACAATTGCCATGGCATTGGCTATATCGGATACAGGTTTGTAACTTATTTAGTACCTTTGGGAAGGTCCTTGAGAAATTCACGGACGGTATAATTCTCAGCATCTGTTCTGTCAATTCGTCGGTGGAATCTGTCCATTAATAGACGCTGGAGGCGAACAACATCGGGAAGAAACTGAACGAAACGCAACTTGTGTTCCTGTATTCGTTAAAAAGGAAAAAGCAAGTAAAGATAGAGACATAAAAGAAAACTGCCTTCGGTTTTTCATGAGCAGATGCTGCCCGAAATTTAGGCAGGAAAAGGGGTTAGAATTACAAGGAAAATCTTTGTAGCACAGAACCCCAACCCTTTGCAGCAATATGCTGATGTTACCTGTTTGAGGAATAACAAGGAAAATCTTTGTAGTACAGAACCCCAACCCTTTGCAGTAATATGTTGATGTTACCTGTTTGAGGAAAGCTTCCAACACTTTGAATTTCCCTCCGCCACCAGAAAGGACTTCTCTTTGAAAAGAGCTACTCAGTTGCTCAACAGTTATACGGTGTCTGTACTTCCAAAGAACGCGAGACATGGGCCTAACGCCCTGAGATAAGTCTTTAATCTGTTCATCGAACTCGTAAAGTTGACGTACCAGCGGATCCTTTCCTGCAAAGGACACAATACAAAGATGTGTGAAAATTTCCTATTCAACAGTTTCGCCAGAGTTTGTAATAACTGCGCGCGCTTCAGCAAAAATTGGAAAAAAACGCCTTACTACCAGCTAAGGTTGAGTTAACGCCTCTTTCAGGGATAGCACTAAAGCCCTCCAATCCACTAGTCCTACTACTAGTAGATTCGCTTCCCGCGCATTTTTTACTGCATAAACAAGTAATATGAAATAGCTTACCAAATCTCCCGTCTCCCATCAAAAGTCTTGAGGCGTTTTGGAGATTCTCGTCAAGATGCTGGGAAGATATTGCAAAAAGAACAATAACACTAGAACGCTAATCATACGGATAAAGATCGTATGTAGCAAAGCAATCGGCGAAACAAACCAAAAGAAATCACTCAATTTTACGTACGGTGATGACAGGAACAAGAATATCAGAGCAAAAAGCTTTCTCCCAGCTGCGGCGACTTTCCTGAGTTTGAAGAAGCATGTCATGGTCATTTCCTGGAGAGTATGAGAAGAAATGGGAAACAATGGGCAATAATGAACAAACTGGATAGCAAAATAGAGAGAGAGAGAGAGACACACACACACTGCATTTTTGTTCAATATGCTAAACTCGCTATTTAGTTTGATCAACGTGAAGGCAAAACTAAATATGACGTCATCAGAATCAATTGGTTCTCCCTGCTTTGCTGCCATTTGCTACTTCATTATGAACAAAATTCAGCAACATCAGCCGGCGACCCGTACGCCATTTGTTTCCCTTTTTGATTTTAATTCTACAACCACACCATGGTGTCATCTGTTATCTACGACTCATTTAATCATACCGACCAACCAGTTCGAGGGCTTACGGTTGATATGTTAACTTTTCTTAGAATTCGCAATCAGAGCTAATTAACTCCTCAATGTCGGAATTGATCATAGTTATATTATGATGATGGCTAAAGTTTGCGCACAAGACAAATTTCCGGTTTCTAAAGCACAGTTTGGCAAAGAATAGAGCTATTCACCCTCGATGATATGGGAGTCCATCGGATGAGAGTTTACCCGTTGATCAAAGTATGTTTTTACACTAATTTTAAGGTATGAAAGCTTGTACCAGTTTTTCCCCCATTTAGCGAGATCATCCGCTGTAATGCTAGATGAACTGTCAGAGCTGCGTCATCAACACTGCACCTGAGTGCTCTACTAAGAACATCCAGGTCTCTCTGCAAGTGCTGCCATAAAAACTGTCCCACAGACTGCGACGAGCATGAAGGTGTGATCAGCTGTGCGGTTGCCTTTGAAGAAAAAAATCGAAGATTTTTAATTGTACTCAAGAGTGAGATAGATGAGAAAAGAACTTGGCTGCTTTTCTTAATTAAAACCATATGGATATTAATTCTATCAGGTTTTAGACAAAGTTATCTCCAAGTAGAAACTGGACTTGTAATCTGGTGGTCCCGGGTTCAAACACTTGAAACTCTCACTTGATTTATTCTCGGTTGCCCCGAGTTTTCAAATGTAAATAAAGGCTAATACTATTCTTATCGTTATTATTATTATTATTATTATTATTATCATTATATTAATTTGAGAATTCCTATCACTCTGAAAACTGGTCAGTCAAACTATATATCACGTGAACCGTGTGCTCTTTTTCTTTACATCAAATCTACATCAAAACATTGGCGTTCTAGATCAAAATTCATTCTCTAAAGGAGTTCAGAAGGACCGCAGCTGATACAAAAGTTACCAGAATGTTCATTTTCTGACAGCCGCCCGCTGTGTCTAACAACTAATCACCTGTGGATTTCTGGATGCTCCTATGACCATGGCCGAGTGCACGATAATCCTCAGCAAACTGCACACTATCGGCGGCATGTCTCTTTGAGGTTCTGCGTTCGTAAGTCTCGAGCTAGGTTCTCCGAGTACATGGCCAGCTTTGGTCCTGTCTTTCCTAGAGATAGAAAGTTAAAAAGTAGATACCACTTGAGTAATCACTTGCGCTTCAAATTTCTTACAATAGATACGTCATAGAAAGTGCATTGTCAAAATAGATAGTCTGAGATTGCCTGTGGCTACTGATATAGTACAATTGTTATAGCATTGAGCAGAAATAGAGGTTGTATAGTAACGCTAGAAGGTAGTGTTGTTCACTTGCAATACACAAAACCCACAACCTACATCATTATGAGTACCCTGTTACACAAGGGAAAGAGAATTCGACAACATAGAATCTAATTGACACAAAGTTTCCATGATGCGCAGATAACACGTATTTTGACATTTCTGCAAAGAAAATTTTGCTTTTTGGTAATTAGTAATTAAAACTACGCGTCGACGAGACTGAAAATTATTTTGAGATGCTTGTCGCTTTTTTTGTAGTGTCACGGCAAGAACTTAAAACATAATGCGTTAGTGGCTGTAAGCCAGAAATCCCAAAAGGAGGGAACTCAAAGGTGTATCGAGTAACAAGATACTTCGAAAAGAAACGATTAGAAGTACCGGCAAACATCTGTCAAAATTGGGTCAATATCGGAATGTTTTTGTTACATACCCTAACATAACTATGGCAAGACTAAATTTTTAAGTTGGTCATTTGAATCCACTCAAGGGAATATAGACCACACAGTTTACATCCTCTTGATCCATTGTAATCTTTTCATCCTTAAACATCTTCTTTCTTTCTTAGTATATTACTTTCTTCTTTTGTGTTTCTACCTTCCAAGCTTCCATTTTCTAGTATCCTTTCTGGTGAAGTTAGTCTTTCAAATTGCACAAAAAATACTCAAAACATCTAAACGTGGCTCCCTTTTTTGATGACAATTCGTCCTTAATGTGTGATGAAAAAAGACATTTTTTCCTCAAAACAGAAAGAACATTTAGAAACGTTTAAGTTATTCAAATAAGATGTGTTCAAATTACTTCTCGGAAACTCTGTATTCTCCAAAGAACTTGTGCTCCTTCCCTCCCAGTAATTTTCCACAATCTGGACAAGTGCCCTGCTCCATTGGTACTTTACACTATTCCAAAACAAATGAAATCTATGTTAGTGAGCACAATGAGAGCCGGTGACTATGCGTAAAGTACATTAGGTTCTTTCCCTACTCGGGTAACAGGTAACTGGAAACGTATTTACGCCCTTCTCCCTTACCCATTGCGGCAAGTGTCTACCAACGCAACCCTTGATTTCATAGTCTGTGATAGTCAGTTACCGATTCAGAAAGGAGTTCCCCATCAGAACCGTGGGTACTTTCCATTAGCCTGAAATCAATATTCTACTAGGGAAAAGATCACATATTACTACTAAACTTGAAGTTTAGCAGTAATATTATAGTATTCCGTGTCTTATTTAGGCTCTAGTGTCCAAATAAAAAAAAAATTTATATCTCCTTACCTCCCCGATGAAATATACATATCTGCAATTGACACACTCTGAAAGAAAGAAAGTAAGGTGTAAGATGTAATTTTGAAGTTCTCGTTGGAACAATAGAATTGTACACGCTTATTTGAGATCGCTGCTAAAATTCAAACGTAAAAATTTCTAAAAATACAAAGACACTTACCATACCACTCTCCAACCCATTTAGTGTGTTTCAAAGTTTCAGCCATGGCCTTCATGCACTCGACATAGTTATCCTCGGGCATTGTTGGTAAGAAAGAATTCTGTACCAGGAAATCAACGGAGCAATCAGATATTCTGTCAGTAAACTACGGTGGAATAAGGTATTTTAGAATTATCAACCGAGTTGATAACGTAAATGGCCACCGTAAAGAGTTTAAAAGTTGACGTTTCGAGCGTTAGCACTTCGTCATAGCGAATAATGAAGGGCTCTGACGAAGGGCTAACGCTGGAAGCTTTAAAACTTTTTACCGTGGCCAGTTTACATTATCAACTCAGTTGATAATACTAAATCACACTGTTTTACTCTCCCACCGAAGCAGCACCACAGTTTCTTTAGAAACCTACCCCTTTAGTGTGGAACGAGACATGCAAATGCTCTTTTACCATTTTAACAATAGAACGTAGATTTTAATCGTTATGGTTATCATTTTCACCTATGCTCAAAACATTTCACATTTTCTCAGGATAACATATCTTTGTATATCAACCTTCATAGTCGAAGGATCAGTCAGGAGAGCATAGAGGGGCTGAGCCAAAGATGCTGCACCAACGCACTGCAAAGCTGCTACTGTATGGATCACAATTTCGGCCGAGGCGTGCTCCTGCGGACTCTTTCCATTGTAGATTTGAAGTTCCCTGAGATTTCCACCTTGTTTGTTTTCAAGAAGTGCCTTGGCCAAATGTTGCGCCTAAATAATACACATAGCTTATTACAAAAAGAAAAGTGCCTTTCAACAGCCTAAACAACGAGAGAGTAAGAAAAGAATGGTAGCGTTGACTATTCAATTGCCAATTCCGCTGGTTTCACACAAGTCGACAATATTTAACACAAAAATCAGGAATTAAAAAATGTGTTAATTGTCTCTTTCTTTTCGAGTTACCTTAACGACAATCCATTTTGCAGTAAACATGCGCGCATGTTTTTTTAATTGCTCTTACCGTTTCATTCAGGTGTCCTCCATTTCTTACGAAATCGTCAAGCTTTACTCTCACCTGAAAAAAAAAAATTATCCTCTCTTCTGAAAGTAGCAGGCAAGAGCGTGTCGAATTAGCGAAGACGAAGGATGAATAAGCATACAGAGCAGAATTAAAATTTTCTTTGGAAAGTGTACACTGTTTTTCCTTACCTCCTGAGACAAATTCTGAGTCTGAATTGGAGAAATATTTGCCATCGTTATTTCACGGTATATCACCAGGAGGAGAATTACATTTTTATAGACATCTTGTAATCTTGTTTCCTAAAGAAAAATTAAAAAGTTCTAATGGTGACTTGTTTGGAAACTTCTCATGAAAATGGTTGACTTAAGTTTAATTGTTTGAAAGATACTTACATTTCGCTCACCAATATGGTTGTGAGATGTAAAACTGTAAATTTTAACCTCGAAGTCCTCTAAGATTACGTCATAAAACCAGATTATTTTAAGATTAAGACTGTCTTCATAACACAGGGGTGAATCCAGTATAATTATTTCTTAGGAGGGGCTGCAACACTAACGAGTAACGTAACTAACGGGTGACGTCAACAGATTTTGCAAGCGACCGACGAAGAAGAAAGCTTATGACCAGGAAATAAAACATAATGTGAACTGCTGAGAATGTATTGCAAACAATTCGGCAGATATTGTATAACTGTGAAGTTGTATTGGGAGGCCGCAAGTCATCAAATTCATTTATCGCGTAATACATCTACCAAAAATGAGTACCAACGAGTTCTAAAATATCTGTGTCATTTCTGAATGTCTGGAGTTGATACAATCCATAATAACCCACAATAACGAAGATTAAAGGCCCAATAGAAAAAGAGAATATACAGTGGACACTAACCGTAATGGCAGTGACAATGTCTTGGATGTTCCCAGTGATGACAGTTTTGGCCAGCCCCTCACGGACGGCAAGATAACGGTCTCCATGAACAATAAACCTGTCTTGGATTACATCCTCCTCCTGCAGATCGAAGACCAAAGATCAATAGCAAGCAACATGTATTACCATAAGTAAAATGTAAAAAGGTTGTTGCCTTCAAACATTTAAGAGAAGTGTTCAATTATGAGCACTAAAAAAGAGGACGGAAAGAGTCTGGATTTTCAAAAGTTGTTCCTCTTTTTCGCTCCTCCAGTTCTCAACCGTTGCACTTTGGAAACACTTGTGGTTTTTTGAGAGATATTCACGAGGTTTAAGTATATTTACTCGTATTGAGTGCTGAGAAATTCAGTTCACATAGTAGATGGCCTGGCTAGTTAACATGCTCACAGTAATTAGAGCACCTGACTACGAAGTCAGAACTTACCAAAATTGAATCCGTCTAGCATCCAGATTTTTCCTTTCCCGTCTCACACTTACGACATATGCATACTATTTTTTCTATTATGATTCAGTTTTAACACATTTCAACGAAATCCATTCATTCATCATTCATTGTTTACCTGCTGTATGGCCTCTGGAGGTAGAATCCACGCTAGTTCCTCATATTCACCCAGAGTTCGGACACAGTCCAAGCCATACCGCCTGACAAGCTGATTAAGCAGGTAGAGCCACGGTGTGGAACTCGACACTTGCTGTGGTGTGGAACTCGACACTTCCATGCAAAGCTTCCTTGCAGACTCTAATAATAACATTACTTCGCTCTTGGCGTCAAGGTCTTTGTAGCTGCTATCTCCCTCAATGAAAAAATTGTAAATGTACTCTACCACCAATGATAAGACGTAACGTCCTTTAGCAACCCAATCCAGAGAGAGAGCGCTAATTTCAGCAGAATCTTCGTCACTGGCTTTAAGAGCTGTAAACGACTCCTCGCAAGTCTTTTTAGCATGTTTGAGCTTTAATGTTATCTGCAAATCGGCCATTTTTGCTTGATAACGGCTGATAAGGATGTCCTGAGGTAAAGGCAGTAAGATTTGAGAACAGTTATAAAAGAGAACATCTCGGGTATGTAAGTAGTACGACCCAAGTAGCCCATGGGGCCGGTGCTTAACTCCGGTTTTCTTAGCATGAAGCGGCTAGGAGTATTGCTACTCCCACCTGGATGGGAGGCTAGTCCATCGCAGGGTTACCCCCAGCACATTTTCTGGTACCCATTTTTACACCTGGGTGAAGAGAACCATTGTGAGAGTAAAGTGTCTTGCCTAAGAACACAACACAATGACCCCGGCCAGGGCTCGAACTCGGACCACCCGATCCGGAGTAGACTAAATTTAATTTCAGTTGAACTACCCTCACCTCACAGCACAGTATTAGTTAAGTTTACATACCTCCATACACTGGACGCATAAGACGCAGACTTCTTTGACGTGCGAAGATTCTGGTTTTAAGCTCCGAGCCCCATGCAAGAAATTTCCCAAATGGTCTTTCACCAACTTTGTCAACTTCACACTGTTTTTAAAAATAAAAGACAGTTTAGTATATAATTATCCTCCTATTAACTGGACAATTTAATGTAAATTGGAGACAGGAAAAAAGAAAATCAGACATGTTAAGAGGCACAAGAAAGTGTGAGTGCTAGCTGAGAAAGAGATTGTTTCTCAACACTTTTACCTTGACCGCAATAGCTGCTGAAGAAGAAAAGAACGCACTACAGGAGTGGGATCAATAGCATAATCAGGGAATGGAGAGAAATCCTTGGTCTGAGTTGACTGATGACCGATAACATAACGCATAAGTAGAGTGATAGTTTCCTTTTCAAGGTCCTTTGACACTGAGTCACCAAAACAGAATACTGACACCAGCTCCATGAAAAAGGCATTACATCGGCGACGTAACTCAGAGGCGGTCTCTTCATTTGTCCTGTGGTCATAAAAAAAAAACCTGAATAAGTACCAGCATAGCAGTAGAATTATTTCTTTACCCTCAATTTCGATAACGCTCCGGCTTCGGCCATGGGCCATGGTTTCCCGCCATCAGTCAAAATACTTAAGTTTTTGGCATTTAAAGCTGTGAGAAACTATGATTACTCTTTGAAAATGTTGCGATGTAATTCTTCGTCTTTTGACTTCAGGATGATTCGGATTTTTCAGTTTTGATTTTCATGTGGAAAAAAAAAAAAGGAACCGAATAGAAAAAAAAGCCGGAGGGTAAAGAAAAGAACCAGTGACAAATCAAGCCTTGGTGTGATGCAGGGTCCTGGAACGAACCTCGCCCACACTATTCGGAGACGAGTAATCTCGCCCTAACACAACCCTGAAGTTGTTGGCCGTGGCTAACGCTATGTTACCAATGAATACTTTAGTGGACACAGGCCGATGACAGCTTCCACAATTACAAGCCTTGAAATGTTCCCAAATTTCACTCCGCTTTAACTTTCAATTAAGTAAAGCAATACCACCAGAGAATTATAAGGAGATGGTTAGCCTGGAGTAGATATAATGTCCTGAAAACTTTATGACAAGTGAGTCCAAAGAGGGCTCGTGTCAGACTTTACCCGAAATTAGTTGTGGGAGAATTTGTGCAGTCTCTGAAACTTGCGAAGATTGAGACCCTATAATGTAGAAATATAACAACTAAATTGTACATAACGTGCTGGTTTACC